AACAATACAATAATTCATAAATATCTATGCTTCCCTATGTCCATGGAAGCACAACTTACAATAGCCAAGATATGGAAGCAACCTAAATGCCCATCAAGATTACATACAAGAAAACCAAAACAATAATTCATAAATATCTATGCTTCCCTATGTCCATGGAAGCACAACTTACAATAGCCAAGATATGGAAGCAACCTAAATGCCCATCAACGGATGATTACATACAGAAGTTATGGTTCATGTATACAATGGAATATTACTCAGCCATTAGAAAAAATGAAATCCTACCATTTGCAATGACATGGATGGACCTAGAGTTGAGTGAAATATGCTGAGTGAAATAAGTCAGACAGAGAAAGATAAATACTATATGATTTCACTTATATGCGGAATTTAAGGAACAAAAAGAGCAAACTAATCAAAAGCAAACTCACAAATATAGATGACAATCTAGTGATGGCCAAAGGGGAGGAGGGTTGGGGGACTGGGAAAATGGGGTGAAAGGTACCAATTAGTAGTTGATAGATGGTCACGGGGATGGGGAGCATAGCATAGGGAATGCAGTTAGCATTAATGTAATGGCTAGATGGAGAGCCAGAGGAGAGAAAAAGCAATTAGGGGGATCATTTTATAAACTATATAAATGTCTAACCAATATACTACATACCTGAAACTAATAATAAAGTAAAATAAAATAAAATAAACTCTGTGTCTCTCTATTCTTTTCCCTTCCTTTCTCACCTGCCCCCTCAATCCCTACATGGTTTCATTAAAAAGCAATGGACTAGCATTATTGAGAAGAAAATGCTAAATTGTTTCCCAATTGCGGATTTGGTTCAGATTCATGGTCCACACTCTCTGTCAATGACCTCATAGAATATTGACCTTAAAAAATTAGGACAGTTCATTCCATTTTTTTTTAAAAAAAGGACCATCGTTTAAACATGCTAGTTTTCCTATCCCACTATAGACTTATAATCAGTTCAATTCTCTAAACACTTGAGAGTTGTTTTTTCTTTCTCCTTAAGCAAGGTTTGGCCATTGAGGGCTTGAAGGAGCAGCTAAAAGAGGAGTTTTTCAGAGTACTTCGCAGAGCCTTTTGCTTAGCCCACTTTAAATCAGGTTTAGCTACATTTTCTCCGAAGAGCTCTGCCTGTAGACTTCAGTGCTGCCCCACAAGAGACTTTGCTCTTCACCATCTTTCTCAACACCCATGGTCTCCACTCTCTTTCTCCACTGGGTTGTATTTAAGTTAAAGATTCTTGGTCAAAGGAAAACAATAGCAGATCAAGGAACCTGTCCCTATTGTGTTACTTCTAAAACAAAGGTCATCTCTTGAATTAAAATGGGAGAGAAACAGAAAGAAATGGAGGCTGGCTAATTTAAGGAAGTAGGCTCAGTGAGGAGGGTGATTCCTACCTAGGCCTGACATTACACTGGGGACTGCATGACCTTTGTGATCAAGACCCTCACTGCAGGCGAAATGCAAACCCTTCAGATAGTGCAAAGGTGAATAGTGTAAAAGGCTCTGTCATCTTAAAGACCTGGAA